ATTGTACTTGTTTTGATTGTTTTTGTTTTCCTGCGAAACAGTGGTTTCTTTCCTAAACATTTTTTATAACAATGAGGTTTTCAATGCTCACACATATATAATAGTTTTAAAAGAAAAAATAGTAATAAATGTTTGACCAGAAGTTAAACCAGAATAAATAAAGTTGAGAGTCCACCCTCTGCAAGCATGGCAATAAGGTCTTGCATGCTTCTTTGGCAGTGCAGAAAATCAATGGACTTGAACCAAACACTGTACAAGATTCTGTTTTGTTAGATGCCTACAATGACTATTGACTATTCACCACAACCCCACTCGTGCTACACAATCACATTCTCTCTCTTGTGCATACACGTCACATGTGTCTTCCTCACTAATAATTCAACTCTGTGGTCCCTTATCAGTTATCACCCCACCAAGACAACTTTTCACGCTTTAAAATTTTAATCAATGCACCTACAAATCATCTAATTTGTAACAGTAGCAATAGGAAAAAGATAGAAATTGAAAAGCATGTAAGTTTATTATATCATAAATGCATGACTACATAGGCAAAAGGACAACAGTAACACCAACCACATTAAATTAAGTCCGACCAAGATATCACCTTCTTCCCCTTCTTCCCTTAACAAGCCCTTACAGCAATTACGATACAACCTCCAAGGAAAGCCCATAATAACGATAATAATACCAGCTCGAAACACAACACAAAGATCACAAAGATCAGCGTTTCCCACAGGCGTGTTACATTACTGTGCAATCCACCGTCAAGTAGAAAATGAGGAGTGTAGGGGGCCCTTCTCCCAAAGTTGTCACACACACTCTCTCTCAATTCACACCCAAAGCTAGTGATAATTTTTACATCAGAGAAAAGGCAAACCCACCAAGGATTGAACACGACAAGGTTACAAAAAGAGGAGGTGAGATTGGGGCCCATAACAGCCAAGAGGCGTGCACTCTCGTTTTTGGGTACTTTTTGGAACAACCAGTCTTCTCATTCAAAAACAGCTCACACCCCATGCCAGCGTTAGTGCTACTTTCTCTAACCCCCAAGACATGGACTAATCATTCATTTCTCTCTTTCTTTTTTTCCTTTATTGGGGCATTTTCCGCTCCATACCTCACCTCTTTCTTTCTTCACACACAAATTACATTACACAAAACCACCTTCACCATCTCCCTATCTTCCAACACCTTAATCATTCACCAATGTCTGTCTTCTTCAAGGGATTCATTTCACACTTCACATTCACCACCCACCTTCCATAATTATTAGAGTTCAAAATCTATACCCTATTTCTTATTATAATAATAAAAAAGCACACAAAGATAACTTATTAGTGTACAGTTTTCTAATTCTCCAACTTATATGGCATATCAAGTCCAAGCTTTATGGCCTTGAGTTTCAATGATTTCAAGCAACGTATGGCTTCATCAAGAAGTTCAACTGGGTCCTTGCCCTTTCCACCAGGAACTATGCACTGCAGAATGCTCAGAACATCTTGAATCTTCTCCTTTCTCATCTTTTTATTGCCCGACCAAGAACCCATTCGACCGGACCCTCTACTACTATTGTTGCCAACACTGGAGCATCTTGATTCTGCATCATCTTCAACTTCAAAGGGTATTTTCCCATCCAGAGAACTAGCAGTGTCCATGAACTGCATGTCACCATCATAAGCCCCCTCCTGCAGCTTTCTCTTCTTTGTTTCTCCAACAGAGCTAGCAACTTCTTCAGCCGTTAATCTACCAGGTTCTTCCTGATTACCGTGAGTGGTCATTGTGCTGGGTGAATGTCCTGTGCTAGTAACTTCATCATTATCATCATCATCATCCTCAGTGGAATAACCATCACTGTCAGAGTAAAGCAATGCATTGATTTCCTCTGTGTCCTCATGCATCTCACTTTCAATGTCATCATCAGTTCCCTGATTTTCATCAACTTTATCATCCAAAGTTGGTCCAAGTCCAGCCACATGATTTACATCTCTCCTCAATGAGGACAATTCATTCTCCTTGTTCAAATTTGTAGAACCATGCAGCTTTGAATCCCACAGAGTCAGGCACTCAACAGGCCGACCAAATCTTGAACTGTAAACCAGAGTTGTTTGATCAGCAGTTTGATCAATAACCAGGAATTGCTTCTGCGGGAAACCCTCAACCCGGGCAATTTCCTCACCAAAACCTTTTGCATGGCTAGCAGAGAGCTTTTCCTCTGCAGTGAAGTTTCGAGCAGGTGTAGTAAATCCCTGCCGGAAACGAGGCAAACAATAAAACCAACCATGAGGTTCACCAGAATGTCCAGGCTGTGAATGAGGCAGCCCAGAGGACAGATAAGCTGGCATTGTAGCATCTCTTGCAACAGAGTTGCCAACTGGATTCATAGCTGCAGCTGTACCATTTTGCTTCCCCGTGCCAAAGGGTGCAGCATTGAAGGAGCTCAAACTGGGAGATTGCCAATCAAAAAGCAGCTCCGGAATCCAGGCTCCACAATCTTCTCCCATTCAACCACAAAAATCACCTAAATATTTTTGAAGCATTAATCAAATTACCTCTATTGAAAGAAATGAATGAATGCAAAAATTAACAACTTAAAACGTACCTGAAGAAAAACGATTCAAACACAAGTGCTATCTTTTTTACTATTGGTAACTCTCACCAACAAGGAAAACAACAAAACCACCGGCTTAACCCAAAACGAACAAAGCAAAAAACTATTACGTGACAGGCTTGAGCAAATGACGGAAGTATTCAGCCTGAACAACACCCAAAACCAAAAAAATATTTATCAGTACATGTTTGAACATAAAGATCATGAGAACAATTGAGAACAATTAAAAGATCCGTAACTTCAAAAACTATGTGACAGGCTTGAGCAAATAAAAGCTATTCTATGAGTTCCTTCAATCCAAGAATATATAATACATACCTGACAATCTATGAGAGGTTGAAAGCATGCCATAACTCTAACTATAATGGTAGAACTCCCTGCACTTCCATTCTCATGTTTCAATGCCCGAAATCTGGTTTGACTTGCTGCTTGGCACACCATAACTACTTTTCCAACCCTTCAAAATGAAAGAACAACTATGTTCCCAAAGACAATGAGTCTGAAATCTGAATCCTCTTTAAGCCAGTGAAATCGGTTTTGACAAATTGAACAATAAACAAAAATAAAACACTGGTTTAACTGGTTTACAAAGTACTAAGAAAAAAACAGGCTAAAAACTAATGACAATTAAAATGTTGAGGAAACTAAAGTTGAACAGAAGGGACAGAAACAAGATGGGTGACTTCTTTCAGCTGATCTGACGAACATAACAAGGAACGACAACAAAAAAATTGGACCCCATTGATTCAAGACAAGGAAGAGATGAGGGAGGTGATTGAAAGAGGTTCTGGTAAAAGGATCTTGAATTACAGAATAACTTTGCAATACAGGTTCAAAGAAATAACTTTGCGATAAACATCAACAGAGAGACTAAGCCACCACCGCATGCTGCTGTATCCTTATCCGCAAAAAGATGAAGCCACCACTAACCACTACTCTTTCACCCAAAATCCCGTTCCAAATCCTGCAATAGAATTCACACATCCCAGATCTACCAATTAGCACAGAGTAACACCTTTAAATTAAGCTAAAAAAAATAGAGCCAAATAAACAAAGTGAGATCAAAACAAGAATAAATAAATAAAAAATACGATTTTCCTTTTTTTCCTTTCTTGAATCTATTCTCGCAAAACAAAACCTTCAGAACAGACTAATTACTGAGACTCAGCGAATATAGGGTACAGATTTTCATCAAGGTTGAAAATAATTAATTAAAAAAACTAAGACAAATTACAAGTCAAGACATTGATAGGGCAGAATATGAACATACACCATGTAAATGGAAACAAAAGTTACCCAAAAGAATTGTTTATTTTTAAAGGAAACAAATCCCCACGCAAGATCTTATATGCTAGAAATTGAAGTTCCAAATATTAAATTATCCTAGAACTAACAACTAAAATTGAAAACAAAACATAATCACAGACACATATAGAGAAAAAACATGAGTGGTGTAAAAGAACAGCATGAAGGAAGTAGAAGAAAAACTTACGATGTGTGTGTGGAGAGAAAAAGAGAAAGAGAGAGAGAGAAGCAAAGCAGTTGAGAGGAGGGAGCAAGCGTGACATGGGTACAGTCAAAGTGGAAAGTGGAAACTGTGTGTAAACAAGAAGAAAGATGAGGAGTTGAGTTATATAGAAAATGCATTGACACATATACCCTTCACAGAAGTCCATCAAAATAATTATTAATGAAAAAATAAAAATAAAAAAGGATTAAAATAATAATAAAAAAAGAAAAGAAAAAGAAAGCCATTGAGAGTGTTGTGGAAGGTTGATTCACTCATTCATGGATACGTGCCCGTGCGTGAGGGTTGAGGACGCAAGAGTGCACGCAAACTCTTAAGTGCACAATCATGAACCACAGTAACCTAAACCAACCTCAGGTTAAGTTAAGTTAATCCATCACTCACCTCTAACACACACACTCCTCTGTGGCCCCTCGGTAGTTCTATCATCACCTTCTGAATGTTTTTGTTTGGTCAATGAATTACTCACCCTCACCCACCACTCTTTACCTAACCATGTTCTTGGGTTTCAACCTAACCACGCGCTCTGGTTAGTTAGTTGGTTGCCTCGGCCTTGTCTCCGTTCCCCTGGACGAATCTACATCATCTGCATGCCTTCTTTTAATTATTATTTTTTTATTATTATTATAACCACATGGTTAAACCAAAACTCACACACATTGCATATTCCCATTATGCCCCTCCAGATCATCATAATTATTCACCACCTATGTAGCCCACCTCTGCACAAAATAAATTCTGTACGGTCATTTCAGGAGATCCGCAAGTAGCTTTCCTTGCTGCAATGAGAACAACCAACACCAGAAAAAAAAAAAAAACCTAAAATATACTATATTATATGTGTAAATGTTAGTTTCTGCTAGATCGGACAAAGGATTTGTGTTTCCTCGTTAATTGCTACCTTGACACTATCCTAGTTATTTTCACTCTTGCAAATCCAAATGTCATGTGAAATTTTAAAATATGCTGGGTAGAAAAGCCTATGATTATTTTTTTATTTTGTAAATTCAAATGAATTTTAACATTCATGTTTAATTAGCATGCAATCTGCTGCTGCTACAGTATTGTTGTCATTGTTACGTGGTACTTTTCTTCTATCAATAACATTGTCTATATCACGCGTTTAGGCTAATAAGCAAGGCTACATAGATTCTATATCATTTCAAACTCTTTTTCTAATAAGTAACTTAATTAATTTTTCTCTTTTTCTAATAATCTTTGTTGCATATTCAAATGCATGCAATCTATTATGAGCTTAAGCTTTAAATAACTTGAGTTTTTCTTCTTTTTTTTTTTTTAATTTTATGATCCACTCCACTTTCCTTTCACGGAATGGTTCGAGGACTGTGTATCAAATCACGATAACCCTACACACTTCAGTAGTCCCTTCAGCCATGTGGTACAGTGAAACCTCTATACACAGGTAAACGCATGCTTGGTTTAACTTTTTTTTTCAGCCAAATAATTATCTTTTTAACACCTTCTAAAAAAAACTAAAGCAAAAGTAATACATAACATGGCTTTTAATCCCCAAAGGTAGCATATAAAAGCTAGAGATATAAACACAGAATTGTGGTAGGTTGGAAGAGTTACAAGAATAGAAATAGATGTTTATGGTGTGAAATTTGGGGAGGTGGAGTGAGAGGGATAAGGAGAATGAAAAGAGTGTGGTTTCACATGAAGATGAATAATTTGTAGGTTGACCGTTCAAAGGAGATATAAGTTGAGGACCCACAGATGAGGAAAATTTATAGTATCTCTCTCACACAGCACCTGAGGGTGTATTTTGTGCTTATTAACCATCGATGGCCTAACTTTAGGGTTTGAGACTTTGGGTTAAAAGCTTACTAGGGTTTGGTCCCGCCAAAGAGTACCATTATACTTTCCATGGATGTGATATATAGAATGGATGTGCCTTAACCATGTAAATAATAAATAATCATCAATATCAGGTTGCCCCATGCTGGCCCTACACCTACCTCATTTGGTACATAACCTTGCGTAAAACTTCTTTCCTCATTAACCATCTCATCTTTCTCCCATGCCTTTCAATTAACTTCTAAATTACTTAACTTTTTTTCAAAAAAAAAATTAAATAATATCTGTCTAAGCATACACCGAATACCTACAATAAACTCTCATTTTTATTTTCAATTTTTTTTTGGATAAAAGAGACAGAATGTTTTGAAATTTAATGACATTGGTTGGTTGCGTTCGTACCGCTGGGTATTTAGTCAAGAACATACTCATATGGTACTTTCCATTTGATTAATCAACGGGTAATTAGGGCAAAAATGAAGGTTAACCTACATAGGTATATATAGGCTGAAGTAGTAGTGTTCACATTCATGATCCTGGTCCAATTCAAAGGTATAAGTAGAGTATAAAGAATACATATCATGCATTTATAAGTACTTAATATGTCTACCTACAAATACTAGTATATGAAAGAGTCTTTTGATTATTTAATATTTTATATTGACTTTGGAATATATATATATATATATATATATATATATATATATGGCCTACATATAACTTAGAGGTTCCAACATAATTTCTCATCCTATATTACATTATACATCAGTTACTTTTTATAATTGATGTGAAATGTTATCTTTTTTCTCAATTAATGACTCCACACGCCTTCTCTGATTCCTTTTTAATATATTAAATGATATCTATGTTAGTGATTTCACATTTCGTGATGTTTATAATGGTTAGAATACTTCAAGCACTCTCTATATTTAATTATTATTTTTATTACCGATGAAAATAATGTTAGAAAAGATAGAAGAATTCATCCAAAACATTCCATGTTGTATTTGAAATTTTCATTATTTAATACTTATTTATGTATTTTAATTATATTGAATATTATTTTTATATGTTTTTTTCTAATTTAGTGGTGGAATTAGGTCAAATTAGTCCAATTCCACCACTAAATTAATAGAATTTTCATGTTAGAGTAAAATTAGTTGTTGGACTTGGATTTAATATTTTAATATGGTATGATTATTATTGACTAAGTAATTTTTTTATAAAACTTTAAGGAGTTTCACCTGTGACTTTATTATTACATGTTGCACCATTTAAATTTGAAAATTTAATATGTTCCTCCAGCTTTAGTCCCTTCAACTTGGTGGCGGACAGTGCAAATAGAATCCCTGTTATTTTGTGAATGTGTAATTTTAATTTTAATTCCTGTAAATAATCGATTGCATATTTGACTTTCTATTTTCCAAAATTAGACAATCGTATTCTGTTGTTATCTAATTTTTAATTGTGTTAATTACTTATTCACTTATAATATGAATAACAATATTTGATAGTAAATTTTGATATATTTAGTAACGACAGATTTAAATTTATTTAAGAATAGCAATAATTTTAATAAAATAAAATATAAATATTTTATTAATTAAATTAAAAAGTATGTAAATGAATAATTATTATTATGTAAAGTTTTTTGTATAAATATTTTTAAAACATATTTTCTTTGCGTACTGTATGGTGTCTATAGTGGGATAATGAAAAAAAAAAGGTGAATATGATACTTCTAGAAAGTGACTAGTGATTTCTATAAATTTTGATATAATAAATAAACAATTAAGTTAATTATGTGTTAGTTTGGTGTGAATGCTGTAATTGAATATTAAAGTATTAAAATTAAAGAACAACTAAAATCTCAGACAGAATTTTGAAAACGAGAATCTTCTCTTTCCCATAGTTTGCTCAACCTAAGCAAAAAAGAAAAAGAAGATTGAACGATTTATGTAGTATTTGATAAATTCTGATAAAAAAAATACCTACTCAGAAAAATACTTCATTTAAACTATAGATAGATTATAGATGAAAATGGTAATGAATTTTTGATAAAATTATTTCATAAGTATAACAAGATAACCTATTTTAATATATTTTTTAATAGTTCTTAACTTTCTCTTAACCTAATAATGAAAGAAAATCCTAATAGTGTTTAAGGCCTGTTTATCACTACCATGTTTGGATTATAGTTTTAATACAATTTTTTTAGAGATTAATTGAACGCTATGATTGTTTATTGTTGTTTTAATCATTTAATTTTGAACAACATGTTTATTTTGTATTAAAAAATTATCACTATGTTGAATTATAATAAAAAATAAAATGTTGCACTAATATTACCAAATTTTAGTTCATATAAAACAATTAAAATAATTATAAATCATAAATGTATAATTATTGAGTAATTGCTTAATATCAAATATTTGATTGAGAGACTAATAATGTTTTTGTTTGTTATTTTATAACTTTGAACTAGTTCTAATAAATTATTTTATAATAGCAGAAATTGAAAGAGTGGTGGACTTTATAGAGATGCTCTGCGATTAGGTTTTGTTGTTTATGAGAGTCTGACTGAAACCTTTTTTTCTGTTGTTATTTTGTACTCTGACTGAAACTTTCTACAGCCACACTTTGCCCTACTTTTTCTTTGCATCCTTTTCTTCTATCATCCCCATACACACAACTTTTACTTCCCTCAATTTTACCTTTTTCATCTAACCCTATCCTTTTCATGCTTTACTTTACACCCCCAACTACCAAAATTATAAATCTTCTTCCATTCTTCTACACATGTGATTATGTAAATGCTTCTGTTTATTAGCACGCACCAAACTATCATTATCATTCAATATGGTTTCCATCCACATAATAATTACCATCCTTTCTCATTACTTAATTAATATCATTACAATTTCATCACATTCTCCAAACCTCATCACTAATTCATACCATTCTTTTACATTATGTAACTTTACCTCTTTTATCTTTTGCTTCATCAGCATCACTATTATCTCACTTACAAAAGTTCATCATGGGTCAGAGAGACAAGTTCATTCACACTTCTATGTAATCATAACTTTTTTTTACTAAGACCTTACGATAAATAAATTGATGAATGTTTTTATAAATATTAAGTTCGATAAAAAAAACTATCTTTTTTGTCATTGATTCTATTTTTTTAGGGGAAATTAATCTTTTTTTTTTTTGTGTAGCATGTATATTCTCCATGAAAAACAATTAGCTAAAATATGCATTCAATCGATATA